AGTACTTACAGGATTAATTACAATAAAATCTCTTTTGGCATTGCAAACTGATATTTATCACCTTTTATGTCAAGAGGTTTTAGTTTAAATTTCCCGTTTCAGCAATAGTGGTGAAGCGACTGTGCCAGAATCATTGCTGACGTACACCTCAAAGTGCATGTTGACCCTGAAGTTATTTAACGTTCTTATTCGACTCACCTGGTTAACGTTATTTCTCTCCCCTTCTGCAGGATACGCACCGGCTTTCATCTGGTGCTGGTGTTTCCTAGTTTCGTCTTTGCAAGCTGGGAAGAGAGCTGCGTTTCTGTACACAGCTGCTCACTGGCTTGTGTTTGCCCAAAAGTCCTTGAGCATGTCCCGGGACGAGGAGCTGGACCTCCTTGCCCCACGTTTAACACTCGCTTTTGCCTTGTGGTGGCCGTGGCTGCTGCTGCTTGTCTCTAGCCCTGCTGGGTACACCTATTCAGGCTTTTTGGGAAAAAGGTATTGCAGGCGCCCAGGAAAAAACAATCTTGCGCTAAATTGGGAGCGAGACCGGGGTTCAAATCTTGCTTCTGCTCCACAGTCGCATGGAGGCTGCAGCATCACCTGCCCTGGAGGCAGAGTTAAGCGATTTCCCACTCCCTGGGGACGCCCAAGGACTGTTGTTCTCCAGCGTCCCAGACAGAAACCACGCTAATGTTTCAATAGATTATATCCCCTTTCCGCAGGCTGGGACCGCGGCCCCCCTCGGAGAGAAGGGTGGGTGCCGTGGCGGGGACGGGCCACCTGGTGTGGAGAACCAGCGGGGAAAACCCAAAGCGTGAATGTTGTAGTAAAGAGTTTCTTATGCCGGCAGACACGGCCTAAGAAAACCTGTAACATCAAAATTGGTTTTCCAGTTTTAGAAACAATTGAGTCATTGTCGTTTTCGAGATTGGAGGCGATGCGAAGCACGGGCTGTGCTCAGCGAAGGATTACTGAATTCAGCCAGGATTTAAGCAAGGAAATGCACACAAGATTTCCTTTTAAAAATCTCATGCTTAAGTAGCTGTTTTGTTTCTGCGCTCAGAGCTGAAACGACAGGCCAGTGGGTCTGTAAATTTTCTATGTTTTGGTGCTTTTTGTTTACTTGACTTGAGGGTGAGCTTCTGCCCTTCACGGGAAGCATTGCTCTTTGGGAAGGTGCCTGACTTGGCAACGCGGCCCATGCCCGCCTATCACTGGGATGTGCCCCAGCTCTGTGGCGTGCCGGCCAGTGAAGATCTCAATTTTGGCATCTCTCTTTGGGCCCCAGTGCCCATCCCCAGGCACTGTCTGGTTTCGGCCTCGTCCTCGTGCAGGCTGCCCAGGGCCCTGGAGACCTGCTCCAACAGGCGACGGGAGGCTTGGTGGCCTCCTCTTGGTCTGGGCAGCCTTGCCGTTGGGCAGATGTTAGCTGAGCTGTGCAGGTACGCACCAGAAATTTGATTACAAAATTAGCGTAATGAGTGCTCGACCCCCTGGGAGCTCAGTTTCTTCCTGCCAAACCCAGTGCTACTCAAGTGTCTAGAAATTTCCAACATTTCCGTGTGGCCGACCCATGTCAAAAACAGCCACTTCCATGCTAACATGGCGTGCCGCATGTCTACTGTGCTAGAAATGTCACTCTTCAGTCTGAATTTCCCGATGAGGATGTTCCAGCGATCTCATTAACTGAAATATTTTAATATGCACAAATAAAAATGCAGAGGCAAGTCACCTGTGGAAGATGATGTAGGGAGCTGATACAAAAGGGAGGGAAGGAAGAAAGGTCAGTGTCCACCGAATACAAGTAGCCATAGATTTTAAGACCAGCGTAGGCTGTGCTTCATCCAGTTAAACTAACGAGGCCAGGCCTTCAGCCCACTAACACATCTGAGTCGCAAGGCCAAGAAGACATTTGTGTGACCCAGTTTGAATTTACCACTTAATTCATCTTTTTCAAGCGCTATAAATAATTCAGCCGACGGCAGTTCAATGGTGATAAATAGGGCAATAAACCTCATTCTGTAGCAAAGGCTACAAAGCGAGCAATGCTTTTTAATTGACTGCTGCATAGTGACTAGGAAAGGCAGGGAACATTCACTCAACCCGCTGCACCACAAATGTCAACAAACAAAAGTTCTTTGATGGCTTTGAAGTTGCCTGGAATCACTCAGTCCTTATCAAAGGAACGCGCTGCGCATAACGCTGTGTTTTTGTGTCGGAAGACTACTTTAGATCTCAAAGCCATTGCACAAACCAATTTAACTTCTTGGGACCGCTGCAAAGGTTCAGCTTTATGCTACAGAAACTGCACTTGGAGCTGGAGAAACGAAAAAGGGAGGAAGTCTTCTGACACCCCTTCTTTAACCCATCTCTTGTTTGTATTGTCCGTTTGGATAGATTAAGGGAGGGGGAAGATTTAGCTCAGCACAAAATGGGCCGCGTGCTGCAGCTGTCACCATTGCCACGCTGCGGCCGGAGAAGTGCCCTCCCAGCATCCTCATGCCCTCCTTGCGCATGTCCCTGAGGGAACGCTGTTTCTGTTATCTGTGCCCCAACTTCCCTGCGCACTGCAGTTTTTTACTGGCGCTGCTCTTGTGCTGGTGCATGGCAGCATCTCCTGCTCCTCCCGTTGGCCACTTGGAATTACCTTGCTCTGCAGCCTGCAGGCACGGCCAAGGGGCATTGCACCTACAAACGTGCCTTCCCGTGGTGCCCTTTATTCGTTTTGCCTCCACAAGAGCCAAACAAAAATGAAAGGCTGTATGTGGAGAGGTCTGTAGTTCTCATTTCCAAACCCTGTACTCAGATCGCTCTGCAATACCCATCTCTCAAAGTGCGTTTTCTTCTTGCTTGATAGCATACAGTTCCCTGTTCCCTGTTTGCTGTGTGTCCTTCCTGCTCAGGTACGAGCCGAACGCAGGTGCAATGATAGTGGCTTTGTGGGGTTGGCCTAGGAGGTCCCAGCGATGGTTATACAGTGTTTAAAAACTGTCGCTGGGGTTGCAGTACACGAGGAGAGCTGTCTAGTTATCCCACTGACCTGGGCTGCACGGCTGCTTCTTGCACTCTGTTTACCCTCCAGCTCGGTGTGAGATTCAGCCACCCAGCACGCCTGTTCAGACCTATTGCTGGCTGAATTTAACCACCCAGACGCAGATAGCCCTCCTGGCCGGCACATGAGGAGGGCTTTCGGAGGATCACCGATCATGGCCAGAGACCCTTAGTTTCAAGACAAGCTAAGAGAAATAACACCTGTGGTGTCCTCTGGCCTATGAAGCCAACCTTGAAAGTAAAGGTGAACCCCAGGAGGTTGCTATGTGTGCTCATGCCTGCTGGAGGGTGGCAGATAGCAAGGCATGTCGGAGAGTATTTTGGCAGTACAGTAGAAGCACTGCATTCGCCTCTGGGGTCCTGGAGAGCTCTGGTTCGGGACTTCCAGATGAGGGAGATACAGCTGTGTCAGCTACAGAACGTCCTGCAAGAATATCTGCTGTCTGTTGAAGTAGACTTTTTCTTATCTTTAAGAATCACCATTTTTTGATGTGTGCCTATATTTAGTTTAGTTTTTAATGATCTGCTAGATTGTTCTGTAGTTAGCTGAGATCTAGTTCAATAGGTTACTGTGCCATGTCCGTGTCTGATACTGCTTGACTTGCAGCTGTGAGAAAACTGGGATGAGGGAATCTCATGCTTGCAGCACCCACATTGATACACTGCTTATTCTGCCCTGCTCACTGCGCAGTTGCATGTCTCCCTTCTTCCACTGACTGCATCCAAGCACAGAGGGCGAGGGTGAGTCATCTAATGGCCTATTTAAGTTTATGGGCCTGGGATTTCTGCTCAGGGTCAGGGATGGCAGAGGTGTAACTGGAGAGGAGCTGTGATCCAGCAAAACCACTTCTGGGCTGGTACCAGCCCAGCTGAGCAATGGCAGAAAAAGCTTCTCCAGCCTCCTTCGCTCACTCCCCTGAGAGCTGGGATTGCTGAAAATTAGCCTACTTCAGCATGATCTTGGCCACCGCTAAGAAGGGAGGGCTTATGGGGCAAGATGTGGGCGAGGAGAGGAGGGAGGAGGTCCAATTTCCCTAACCAGCCAAGTTCTGATACATGGCTTCGGGAATGCATTCTCCTATTAAGGGCAAGCAAATAAGAGGGTGCTGACTTACAAATGTCCGTGCTTTCTTGGGAGAGAAGACCCAAGTGATAGATGGGCAACTAGCCAATGTTTTCTGGACTCATTCAGAAGATGCTGTTTATTCCAGCAGCCAACGACAGCATCTAAATGTACGTCTAAGTCTATAACTCCAGCAGTAAGCATCGAAAGGGTTAACCGTAATAAAAATCTAGCCTGTCATTGTGTCTTTTCACTGAGAATCACTCAAGTAGAGGTTTTCATTCTGACTTTTGTAGCTGAGCTCCAATCACTTGAAGGCATCTTTAAATTCAGGCCAGCGTTCCCCTGAGACGACACTGACTTTTTCTTCTAGTTCTTTCAATTTTGTATTAAAAATGCTTCTTCCAAAAACCGTTTCGATCAACCGATACTTTCCAAACTAGAGATTAAGGTTGCTTCCCATCTGATCTTAGTAAAGTGAGATAGTTTTGCTCATAACATTTTTTTAAATGGTTTTAACTGCATCAGTAGTAAAAACTTCAGCATTGGCTTCAGTATGTAGCAGTACGTCAGAGGAGGAGCATAAATTCAGCATGATAACAGGGACAAAGGGTCATTGGAGTAGACCTTGGCAGATAAGCTGATGCATGGTCGGTACCTGGGTGGTTAATATATCACTGCCTTTGCATAGCGAGAAGCCACCCTGTAGCGCTGCTAAAATAGAAAGCCCTGCAGTAACGGAGGTGGGGTTTTCTCAAATAGGTCACCATGGGGTGAGGAAGATAAGGGATGGAGAGTTGTGGTTGCTGGTAAGTGCACCGGTGGGGGAAGGAATGTCTCTGTTTCTTGACGCAGGCAAGTGATTCTAATCCCTAAAATCACTGTTCGATTAGACTATTTCCAACCGGAGGCTTGGCCATTTGCAAGCAGAGATGCTAAACTGAGTATTAATCTTCAAACAATTTGCTCTGCCGAATGGGTAAGTGTTTGCCTCCAGGACCTATTCTTCCTTGGGACAGGAAGCCTCACTATAAAAAGCCAAATCCAGGAAAGAAACCTGTATCCTGGCCTTTTTCCACGGCAAAGCAAACCTCTGACGCTCTTAGTGTTTTCTGGGGATGTGTGCTCACTTTGGATGCATCTTAGGGATGGACGCATCATGTTTGAGTTCCTTGATATTGAATTCCTTATAGAATTATATATAGACCCACTTTGGCTTTCAGAAGTGAAGACTCCCTTCTTTTGCCTGATGGGGTGATGACCTTCCAGCTTGGCATTCGCAGGTTCTCAAAAATCAAGCGGAGGTGTACTCCAGCAGTGCCACTGCAGGCAAAAGGTGCCATGGGGTGGTATTGACATCAACTGTCATCCTTTGCATCATTTCCAGGTGGCTGTATAGCATTTAGGCAGGCTGTTGCACCAGCACGTAGATTAAAAATTACAGCCTTGGGGCTTTCTTCTGTTCCCTCCCCAGCAGCGTCTGTCTCACGGTAGCCCTGTAGCTACCCTGTGCAGATCTCCAAGGCCGAAAAGGAGTGCTGGGTTTTGTTTGAAGCTGAGATGATCCTAGTTGCTCAGCAAGTGGTCCTGGAGGACTGCTGTTGGTAGCTTTTAATCTTATTGATACAGGGACAGGAGCACGGAGGTTGGAGAGCCGAGCAGATCGTAGCAGGTGGCCACGCTTGGAGGGAAAGGGGATTCAAGTCACGGTAAGAGATTCCTGGGTCAAAATTCACCAAACTCACTTGCAAAACCATCCTTTAGCTGCAGTGGGACCACAGTTAGATGTACTGTGCATCAGTACCTTTCTCTAGCAGGCCTTGAGAGCAGGATTGGGTTGAGCTATTCCTGAAAGCTCTGAAAAATTTACCCCTGAATACTAAACTAGGACTTTATGCCTCGCAGCCTGGATCAGAGATGGCTTTATCGGTGGGAAGGCATCAGGAGAGGACACCAGAGGAGCTGCGGCTTCCTCCTTCCTGTGTGTTAACACATCCCAGTGCGGCACATGCCCATGCAATAGCAGCGAGGCTGCAGTATGTGATTTTCCTCCCTCCTTCCCCCATCAGCACTGCAGCTGCATGCAGCAGTGGAGCTTCCTGTAAGAGCAGCTCTGACCAAGCCCGTAAATCAGACTATGCAATTATCGGCCCCGCTGTGGAATAACAGGATGAACGCATTGGTCAGCAGCTGCTTTGAGGCAGCTAACATGCAGATAAACTGAGGGGCCTATATGCGTGCTGGAAACAGTTCATGCTGTAATCCTGACTGTCTTAACAGTTTGTCTTTGTGGTAATTTGTGCTTCTGCTGTCTCCAAATGCAGCTTGGGATCTGGTCCCTCCTTCCCAGCCTCCTCTGCTAGCTCTGTGAAGGGCAACCGTAAATGCACCACGAACCTCGTCTCTGCAAAAGGGTTTGGAAATGAAAACAGCAGGCAAGGCTTTGATTTCCCTCCCGGCCTTTGACAACACGCATTTGCAAAACAGCATCGTGCTACAAGGCTCTGGTGTTGTGCAGAGCATGGGTGCTGCATCTGAGCCTCCAGGCTCAGTGCTTTCGGGCTTTTAGTCATCAATAAACAGGATGATTACACACTCGGTTCTGGATGTGTTCTCTCTTCTGCAGTGAAATTGTTTGTTGCCATGGATATTGGTTTCCTTTAGAGACATATAACCAAAATGGATTTGAATAGACCCTTACGGGTCAATATTTCCATAGGAGCAAATGCACATCTTGATGCTTCCTCAAATTCTTTTGCGTGTCCCGGATGCAATGACTATGAAAAGAACCTGGAGCTTTTCTTTGGCGAGGTAGCTGATAGGGAAAATGGAATAACTTTCATAAATTATTTTGCCCAGGCCCAGAAAGAAAAATGAACATCTCTGATCACTGCAACCTAAAAGATCAGGTAGAAGTTTCTCTGTTGTTTGTTCTTGACAATTTGAAACTACTTTTTTCCTGCCAGTCCTAATTTTTTTTAACAAGTACTTTTCAGTCTGGGATTTCCAAGATGTGTCATATTGCAGCTCATAAATGGACTTGTGTTCTAGGCAAACAATAGTTGTTACTGTTTAACACAGAGATTTGATAAAATTTGCTAATGACTGCTGCAGAAAATGGGCAGAGCGAGTGGAGAGAAGTTTTTAGTTTCTACCCAGGAGCAAAATTCCCACTCCCTGTTTTATGAATTTCATTAGGTGGAACTAATTAAAGGGATGTTTCTTATTACCAAGATGAGAATCAGTCCAAGAGGAGTCCAGGGAGGTTTGTACGCTGCAGCACAATTGCTCTGCTTTTAAATGCAGTGAAAGCGTTGTGTCCTATTTAATTTGACATTCCTTGTGTTTGTTTCTCTTCGTGACTCATAGCACAACACTGGCAGCAGGCCTAGGAAGTAGGTTATGGGATCTGGCGTAGGGACACTGGCAGATTGTGTTCCAAGTCTGGTGCTTACATTGCACCCCCGGCCACGAGAGCAGCCAGCTAACTGTGTTCTTACCGCCTAGCGAGCCAGTGCCTTCAAAAAGCAGATTAACAGCTGCAGCAATGGTCCAAAGGTCCGAGACAGGCCTAACGTAGCATTTAATTTGCCATTTCTATTAACCTAGCTTGTTCAATATGATAAGATTTTAGTATAGGAATAAAAAAGCCCCACAAAGCATGCACTTCTGACATCCTTTCACTCACCTCTTCTCTTGGCTGTCGCGTTCTGTTTTTAAACAATAGGTTCAACCCTTTCAGCTTCTCACCAGTCCCCTGACCGATGCTGTGCTGTAATCATCAGACCTCCACCAAAGTAGGGTGATCAAGTAATTGCTGATGGAAACTGCATGAGGGCTCTGATTTTTTCCACTGATGGGAAGGGAACACATTAATTTTCGCACTGGTAGGGACTTGATGGCTGGGGACACAGCACATGGGAACAGCTCTGCCTCAACTCTTGCTCTCCTGATAGGGAGCCAGAGCTCAGGTCTTCCCTTCTCATGGCTGGGGCTGATGAAAGGCGTGGACATTGTGTCAGGATCGTGGACTCTGAAGCTGAGAATGCTAGTGATATGTCTCAGGAAAGACCTGGGTAATTTATCTGGCATTGCTCTTCATTTGGTCTTCTGCAAGACCAAGAGCTTAGAGCAAAGCAGATATGAGGTAAGGAGAGCCCTTTGAATTTGCATGGTTTTTTCCTCAACAAGAGCTCCTAAAAACCCAGCAAGGCAGAACATGCAGCTGGATGCTAGGCTACTTCAAACCTGGCTTTGTTAACTAGGCCTCTCTCTGTAGAAAGACCAGAGACAGGATTTCGCTAGTCTGTCACTGATTTTTGTTGGAAGAAGACAGATGATTACTTGCGACTTGGTGACAGACAATGAGTAATAGTTGAGGAAAGCATCATGAGAATGAACATTTGCAAGAAGAAAAAACGTGATTAGAAGATGTCATTAAAGTGTCATTAAAAGATATTTGTCTGAAGTTTCTACATAATCGTGTTGGTTGCTTCTTGTGCAATGGCTGCTGCAATGCAAAATATGCATTTTGCAATGCAGATACTAAAATGGTGTGTGGTTTTGTACGTGTTCTGCTGGAACACAAAACCAAAACCTAAACTGACTGCAACTTCTTTCTGAGCAATTTGCAGAGTAAGAGGTCAATGGCAAGACAGAGTTGTTTACACTGGCTTTTTAAGACCTGAATGGTGAGATTGATTCTGAGTGATTCAAGACTGATTTATTTTAAGTATTAACCAGAATTCACCTAAGTAATGAAGCAGAGCGAAAGCCATTTATTTGACTTTCTTATGACTTGCTTTCTTAAGAAAAGAGTTGCTAAAAAGCAGGCCCTGCCTTCAGAGCGACCATCCAGGGATCACTAGAAATGGTAAAATACAGACTTTACCAAGAGCCGATACTTTGCAAATGAACATCAAAGTCAAAAGAAACTGTGGACATATAAAAGGAAGACACCAGGAAAAAGGAGCAGGTCCAGTGAGGTCAGAGGCATAAAACCATGGGGCCTAAAACACGAAGACAGGTAACGGAGGCTGTGAGTCTAGAAGCGCTCCAGCTCCCTCCAGCAAAGAACCTGATTAAATCCCTTTGACTGATGGCTCCTCCTACGTATAATAAACATCGTCCTTGATGGCAAGGGCTTAGGATAAGGCCTCTCGCACAGGACCTGGAGCGTCTCTGGTGATCTCCTAAATATCAGCATACCTGTGCACTCTGCTACCAAACTGTGGGGTCAAAAGAGTGTGAAAGAAAGGAAATTCCCCTACAAATCCAAGGCAGCATGTACCCATCTCCTTATGCTTTCCCGGAAATGCTTGTTTGTACTGCATCTTGCTCTAAGACACCCAGGGAAAAATTCAGAGAACATTTAATTCTCCCTGAAATGGAGAGCATCTTTTTTTTTAATCATTATTATTTTTGTAAGCTGTAAGCGTGAAGCAGCGGAGTGTTATTTACTGTTTGCGAGCTTGCTCCAGCTGCTCTCTCACCTTTTCCACAATGCGCGCTGTGTCTTTGCAGGCTGCCTCATGGGCTGTTCCCTCTCTTTTATTTATAGTTGCACAGTGGAACATCTCTGGGGCCACAAGAGTACTCGAATACATGGAAAAAGTGAAAGTAGGCAAGGCATTAATGTGTTCTTTAGGTTTTGTTTTTTTATGGTTCTTTCGCAGCTTAGAAACAAAGAAGAAAGCCAGCACCATCAGCCAGCTGGAGGCAGGCCACAACCTGAAGACATGCACACACACACACACACACACACACAGAGTAACACTCTCTTTTTCTTTTTTGAATTCTTGACAACATTTTTTAAAGCTCCTTAAACAGCTGTCTGGATTCCCTTCTGGAGAAGAGGAAATGCAAGAGAGGAGCCACGACCGAGGCTGTCACAAGTGATTGCGGACTGCAGTCACAGCTGCCTTTTCTGCACAGGCTCCATTAGAAAGTGGATCCAAAGAATTGCTTCATCTGGTGTCAGGACTGCGTATCCTTTTCCTCCAGAGGTAGAATGATAGAAAACACACGATCATTTGAGAATTTCTCCAAGATGGCGTTTTAAAATGTATTACATGTTTTGATGCTAAATGCTGTGAAAGGGCAATCACTATTGCACTCTTCTGGGTGCTAGAGCAGCTTAAACTCTACAAATGCTGCTACTTGGCTGTCATATAATCCAGGTCAGTTTAGTGGTAAAATATTGCATTTTCAGTGAAAAGCAACTTCTCTTTCCAGCCAGGGGTGTCAGCTCTTCAGTGCTCACTTTGAGTTTCTTTGCAATAATATATTCTTCTCCAAAGGTGTAATTTTCTATGAAGAGAAATATTACATAAAAGTCTGATTTATCAATTATCATGATAAAAATTATTAGGCTTCCCATGGTAGGTTGACTCTATTTTTAGAAATGCCATTTTGCCTAGCATTCAAATGATAAGCACCATACAATGAAGACTTCCTTTTTTTATCTTGTGCATATAAAATCAATTATTTTATTACACCGAGAAAAATTATTTATCTTCTTGCCTATTCTTTCCTCCTCAAGCACTGATTATCCCACAGGGAAAGGTTGTGTGTCAGCAGGATACCCCTTAAAAATGTAAGTGCACTTTCTTTTCGAAATTTTAGTGTGAGGTCAGAGAAATCTAAATGAGATAATCTGACTGCTGAGTTGACAACTGCAGCCTGTCTCAACACTGAACCAAAGTTAGTGTTGGTCGCTTGACTATAAGAAAACGCCTTTGACAATAACCTTTGATCCCCTGCTCAATGGTATGTTTTAAAAGTACGTCTGAAAGATCAAATAATGCTGCATAGATCTTTTTCCCCTGGTCAGCACTGGATGACTGCATAGGAAGTACAATAATTAGCATTCTTATTTTTCCCGAGCTAGGAGATCAATCCATCTGTATGCAGGCTTGCTGCTCTGTCTTAAATAATGCAAACCTCTTTATGTGTGTGTAATTTTGTGCATGAGAACAGGATCTATCATCATTAAGCAGCAAGCTCATAAGGAGCTCTGTCTCACCTGAAGGCATAATTCTTTGTTTGCAACATCCCAACTAGTTGCCACTGGAAAGGATTAGGGCTCCAGGTGAGGCATGAACAGAAGCGGTGCAACTGAAGAAGTTAAGAGGTGTTTTTTCCCCACATTAAAGTGTCTTTGAGACACTTTTTTTATTAAAAAAAAAAAAAGCTTGCGTGAATCTATGTCCACAGGAACATCATGAGTAAGTTTGTTCCCTGTGTGTGTCACTAATGTCGCCTTCTATATAATTTGGACCTTGTTGCAAAGAAGTAGTAGATAAGCTATATGACTTTTAATATAAGGAAAAAATCTGAAACAGCAAAAAAGCACCTATGCTTTGACCCTGCAGAAGTAACGACGACTATCATTCGACAAGTTTTTACAGGCATAATAAAACAAGTGGCTTCCCACTAAGACAATGAAACAGCAGGAGCTCAGGACTGAGCTTGAATTTAGCACAGGGCATCTCTGAGCCTCTGGGGCATGCTGCCGACAGCCCCACGGCTGTGCCAGCGCCGTGCCATGCACGGGT